TCAGTGATTTTTTTAATAGCATTTTTTCTAGTAACAGCTGAAGATACTATGGAGGAGATGTTTAAGGAAAGGGATGGTGATATTACAATTTACTCTGCTTAAGAAGAAATACTGGTAATGATTATTAGATAATATCTATTTCAAATTCTGGAAAACTGCCTGGTTTGGAGGGGATATAATATACTTTATTAAGTTGTTTAGAATATGTTCTGATGAGTAATTGTAGCGGTATAATTATTCTAGTGAACTTTTCCACCTTGTATAACTGTGTTTGCAGTATTTGATGATATATTTAAAAGTTGGTGTTTTGAGAATTGAATGGTTTTCATGTGAATGACAAAGTGGCAAAGCTTTCTAATTATGTATAAATACTTTGTTTGCTGAAGAGAAGTGAACCCTATTTGTTCAATTCAGGCAGGGTTGGTACTGGCACACAAAGGGGCCTTGCTAAGGAGTGACAAATGACAGGTGTCTTAGTATATAAATCTGTGTTGTGATACATTTTTTTAATAGTCATGCTCTAAATTGATAATAATGGTATTGTTTTACTTAAGATTTTCTTTTTCTTTAGCTTACGGTGGTATCAACATCCCACTGAAGAAGAACTGCGGATTCTTGCAGGGAAGCAAAGAGGGAAGAGTAAAAAAGATAGGTAAATACTTGTTTTAAGCTCGTCTTCCCCCACCTTTTGGGTTTTTTTTAGTGTGATATGGCTCACCAAAACTGCTCTGCTTGCATTGACTGTCACAGTTCTTTACCAAAACGTGTTCTTACAGTTTAACAGAGTTGGACATTCCCAAGTGGTACAGAACTGGTTAATTTCCGTCCACAAAATGGTCTGTGAGATGCTAATTTGATAGCAAGCTTTTTTACCGAATGTATGCATTTAGATAAAAACTGAGGCAACAAGTCTTAGGATTGTTTTCAATCATCTTGGAGCAAGAGTAGAAAGATTTACTAGTTCAACATAGGATTACTGTGAGCCACCTCTCTCAACACGGCTGTGAGAAAGGTAAATGGGCTCCTAGGATATATTATGTGAAATTTTTCTAGTGAAGAGAGAGGGAAATATTAATCCTCTTGGACAAGACACCAATGTAGAACTTTATCTGGATTACTGTGTATGGTTCTGATCATTTGTGTTCAAGAAAGATTAATTTTGTATATGAACAGGTAAACAGAGCTGCTAGGATCATCCAGGAAACAGTCAGTCTTACCCAAGGGGGCTAAAAGAGCTGAGGTTGTTGAATCTTTGGAAAGACAACTGAGGGGGTGGAATATCTGTCCATCAACTTAAGCTGGAAATAGATTTCTAGTATTCAGACATTAAGTTCTGAATAGCCATACCAGAAGTACAGCTGCATCAAGAGCTGAGACATCTTGAGGTGGTGGAGCTGGCCACGTTGATGAATTTTTTTTAAATTGAATTTGTTTAGAACCAAACAACACACTACAATTTTCTTTTTGGCAACACAGGAAGTTTGCTCTGGCTCTGTTTCTTCTAGCCCAGTATGAACTCTCTTGTAAATCTTAAGATTTGAATTAATCTCTGCATTGCTCATATAATCTGTTAATCTTAATGTAATTTTTCCTCCTTGTTCCTAGCTCTTAAGCAGCATGGTTAGCAATCTTACTTGCCTCATTTAGGTTGGAAAAGACCTCTGAGATCATTTAGTCTAACCTTTGATCACATGTAGATTGAAACATGGCCCAAAGGGCCACATCCAGTCCTTGAAGACCTCCAGGGATGATGACTTCACCACACACTTCCTAGGGAGGACAACCTGTTCCAATTCCATGACAAAATTCCTCTTGAGATCCATTCTGAATCTCCCCTGGCACAGCTTGAAGCTATATCCCCTTATCCAGCCTCTAGTTAACCTTGAGAAGAGACTCTCCCCCGCTTGACTACAGCCTTCCCTCAGGCAGTTGCACAGAACAAGAGGGCTCCCTGTGAGCCTCCAGGTTGAGCACCACCCCCCCCAGCTCCTTCATCCTCTCCTCATCAAAGTTGTACTCCAGGCCCTTCCCCAGTTCCATGGCCCTCTGGGCCTGCTCCAGCATCCCAATGGTCTTTCTGTTTGTGAGAGGCCTAAAACTGAACACAGGATTAGAGATAACGACCTCAGCAGTGCTGAGTACAGCATACGGTCACTGCCCTGGTCCTGCTGCCCCCACTGTCTGACACAAGCCCCAGTGTTCTTGTCTTCTTGGCTCCCTAGGCCCACTCTGGCTCACGTTCAGCCACTGTTAACCAGCAGCCCCAGATCCTCTTTTACTGGGCAGTTTTCAAGTGACTCTGCCCCATTCTGTGGCACTGCATGGGGTTATTGTGACTCAAGCATAGGACCCAGCACTTGGTCTTGTTGAACCTCATGCCATTGGTGTCAGCCCATCGATCCAGCCTGTCCAGATCCCTCTGCAGAGCCTTCCTGCCGTTCAGGAGATCAACACTCACATCCAACTTACTGTTTGGAAATTTACTGAGGGTGCCTTCCATGCCCATGTCCAGATGATCTGCAAAGAACTTGAACAGGACAGGGCCCAATACTGAGCCTTGTGGAACATTATCAGTGACCAGCTGCCAGCTGGATGCAGCATCATTCACCGCCATTCTCTGGGTTAAGTTGTTCCCTGTAAAGTCGTATTCTTTTATTTTTTTTTTTTTTTGCAACATCCCTTGAAGAATCTCTTCTTAAGAGTTTTCTGTGACAAAAATGAGGCAAAATAATGCTGAATAAGATCATAATTTATAATTGCCCATTTAATTAGTGATATTTATTCATATGTGAAATAACTTTAATTATGTAATTATAAGGTAAAATCCACCCATAAGAGCATTAAACTGAAAAACACAATTGCACTGCCAAACAATAATTGTATTTTGTTCTTACTGCCTTTCCTCAGCCTTGCCAGTCTTTTCCAATAGTAGTAGTAGGTGATTGTATCAGGGTGAATGTTAATCACAGGGGAAAATAAAACGTCAAAGAAGCTAAAGCTGTAATGTGGAGGCTTAAACAACGTTTTTTCTGCTTTGCTTGTTTAACAGCTGAATGAATAATAAAATATTTTTTAATGAATAAACATACCTCTGTGTCCTTCAAAGAAGTGACTCTTGTTTGGGAAGAACCATAGTTAAGTGGGAATTGTTCCTGTGGAGTTGGTTTGGATTTACTGATTAGGTTGATCTAATTCATTAGATTCATTAGATTAGAATGGAATGTACAGCTTGTGAGTCATCTCAACAAGGAGATGTGAAACAGATAGTGTGGAAGAAATAAGGATGCATCTGTTTGATACTCCCCATGATAAAGAATACTTTTCAAGATAAAGAATCTTCTTTGTCAAGCCTATAGTCTTGCAAAATGTAATACCTGCTCCTTAAATACACTCCCAGTCTGAACTAATTTAAAGATAAAATATTAAAGGATATACAAGGAGCTTGCCTGAAAATTTGTCTTAGAAACAGCTGTAGTGGGAAATCTTAGTTAATTTTATTCAGTGCACATTACAATTCAGTATATTATGCTGTAGGCTTTAGGAACACAGGAATGTTAGGCAGATCTGCTTCAGAATACTTCATGCTATATGAAACTGTTAGGCTAATGAAAAGGTCCATAGCTACTGTGAATTACTTTGAACTAAAGCATTCAGTGATCCTGGGTATGTTCTGTCTGTGCCTCTTGGATTGTACGGCCCCTGGGAAAACTGAAGTGTAGCAACACCAAGTTTTTTTGATCTGAAATGGCTTCAGTGGTAAAAATGCTCTTCTCACTCAAAATGATAGTTCTCCTGGATACAGGCAGTAGTAAAATATTCAGAGTACAGCTGGGGGAAGGGAAATAGATGGGAGCTTGCAGGTAGTCTAGTCCTTGGGCAGTGTTGGGGACTTGTGTAGATTCACACAACTGAATTTTTTGAGTAATGCTTTAGATTCCTATCTACAATTTGTACATTAAAATTGTGGTGCTTCAGGTTATACTAATCATTAATATAACCTGAAAGATCTTATTAATGCTTTCTGCTTGTATTTTCCTCTTACATATGAGCTGAGGTGAAAGCATTCCTGAAAACTAAGTTCATGATTGATTTGATTTCTTTTTAATGCTTATATCCCAATAATTTGTTTTTCTATGGAAAACCTACCTCTCCTTTTCTAATTTCAGAGGTGGTATTCTAAAATGTGGCAGTTTGTTGTTTCCCTCTAGACTTTAACAGGTCTTAAGTTTTAGGTTTGATTTTTTAATCTAACAAAACAACTTCTGACCTCCTTTAATGATTTACTTTTTTTTTGAAACAGTGGGAGAGGGAAGTTCTACATTAGTTAGTAATGCTGACCTACCAGACCAAATTCTCTAGTTTTGTTAATATTCTTTTAAGAGCAGGCTGGAGTTTTTAATTTGAAGTCTACTAGTGTGACTTAATTTCAGGGAAGCGAAGATCATATTCGTATAGTTTGAGAGCTCCTGACGAAAAGTGCCTTTTGTTCTAAATACACACCTTTTTAGATTAGATACCTTTAATTGCATTTGCTTGGTGGCTAGTAGGTTGGACCTTTCAAGGATCTAGGTTAGTCCAGCTGATGCGATATACCTGCTTGTTGTGACAAGAAGGACTAATGCAGGTTTTTTTTTTTATTTGACCTTGGGAACACCCTGTAGCTCTGAATAAAGAAAACCAGTGGGCCAAAATAAATACTGCCTGCTGGATCTTGACCCAATACATACTCAGACTGGAGCAACTGGAAGCCATTTAAATCCATACCACAGTAGGATGTCAGAGTGAAGTTATAGCTAGGAGCTATTGACGTACCTGGTTGTTTTCCAAGATTTGAATTTGAAGTACTACTTTTAGCTAGAGACATAAAAATATTTGTATTTGGGAAAAAAAAGCATTCTGCATTTTTCTAAAATTTGAAATGTCATTGTATATTGAAAAAATCTATTTTTTCATATCCATGCTTGTACTATCTATTTATTTATTTTACAGAAAATACAATGGTCATATTGAAAACAAACCCTTAACCATTCCAAAAGATATTGATCTTCATCTGGAAACAAAATCTGTAACAGAAAGGGACACTATTGGTAAGAGTATGCAAACAATAATATATTATTTCCAGTATATCCTGATTCTTTCTATCAAGTATTTATTTGTAATTAATGCGTAAATATCTCTTTTTTTGTAGATAGTGACTGAATAGAAGCAAAACTGGTCATAAATGAGAAAGCAGGTAGTAGGGTTTAAGTCTTCATGAGTGACTTTTCATGGCAGTGTTGTGGAAAGGGATGAGTCAACGAAATCCAGCATAAAGCACAGCTGTTGTATCTGGTGTCCATAGCAATATGATACAACACTGCAAGAATCACATCACAGTCTATTCAAAATAGAGTTTCTAGCTTTGTGCAAGAAAATAACAATTGGCAGATGTCAAGTCATACTTTCTGCTCATCTAAAATAGGAAATGTGCTGTAGCATTGGAACCTAAACCCTTTCAGCCATACATCTCAAGCATTCAGGTAAAATGCTTTAAAACAATAAGTGACAGTTCAGAAATATGCAGTATTAAATGTTTTGGAAGGTACTACGTTTTTAGATGCTAATTTTTGATTATTGAATCACAGTCATTCTGTTACAGAAAGTTCATATATGAGTATGTATGTGATACGTATTTTTTTCCTACCTATGTTTTTGTATTTATGTGTTCTCTGGATAAATATAGAAAGAAAGGATGCGTATTCCTGTGCAGGAGACTACTCAGCTTAAATTATAGGAGACAGCATTTGTGTAATAGAAATGAAGTTTCTGAAGTAAATAAACAAAGCATTCACAAGTTTCAGTTGTTGTTACTTTCCTGAAATTATAGTAGTCAATTCTCAACCTGAGTGATACAGAATAGGGTTGGACTGTGTTTGAAAAGTTATATATACAATTTGTTTGTAAATCTAACCAGATTGTTATTTCAAAGTACAGGACTTGGAAATACCTGTTTGCCCAATTTCATATCTTTGCCAACAGGTAGCTTGTAGGCAAGTTAACGTTGAGTAATGTTTTTCTGTTTTCAAATTGTAAATGTAGGGAAGGTGTTTGGGATGGACAATTTGTATTGTCACAAATGGTTCTTTGCAGTTTCCAACACCTATGGGAGCTCTGTCCAAAACACACAGCCTGTATGCAACACAGTATGATCCCTGGAATTTTTAGGGTTATTTTTATTTTACACAACAGTTACTGCTTTATAGGATGTATTAACAAAATCTTGATGAGCAAACCATCAGTATCTCAGATGGTGGGGTTTGTAAATTAAAAGAACAGTTTATTTGTAATATAATTGACAGACGGTGAGATTTTAATCTTTAACAAAGGGTCAAAACAAATCCTCTTACCTGGAATTGCAGCCAGGCTCTACTGGAAAACTGTTTAATCTCTTTGTTGTGAAATCTGAATTAAGCTTTTTTGATTGAGGATGTTAATGTATAAAAGCTGAGGTGATAAGAGGAAAACATCATAGCCTTATAAATTTCAGTAGTAATCAAGTATTGGATGACAGAAGTATAAAATAAAGTTCACATTGTTGAGTAACTTTTTCACTGTTGTTGCATTTCGCTTGGTTGATCTGAGTCTACCTAAATTTCACTTTAACATACTTAATACACAATTAAAAACCTCTTTTAATTGCTACTCCATTCTACATACACCAGTAACTGCCTTAAAACACACCTTTAACTTTCACAAACTTATATTTTTCAGCATTGCATTACTTTCCAGAATATCAGTGGTTGGTGGATTTCACTGTTGCAGCTACAGTTGTGTATGTGGTGACAGAAGCCTATTACAGCATTATGAAGCCTTCTCAAGAAATGAATATCAGCATCGTGTGGTGTCTGCTTGTCTTGGCTTTTGCAGTGTATCCTTTTCTGTTATGTTAATTCCCCCTCTACCTGTTGCAAATAGTTATATGTCATTCTGCAATTTGTATAAAATTCTGTGCCATTGATGGGTGGGATACAAAAATATTTAGCATTTGGAAAAAGGATCCCATAAGCTAATGCCATTGTTTAATAATGTATATGCTGTACATACTCTTTGTAAATGCTGGTATCATTTGCTTCATAACATTAATACCAGACCATTTAGGAGAAAAATACACGTATGCAAATATAGTTAGTGCTCACCTGTAGTATGTAGTGGTTCTAACTTGATTTTTTTCAGTTAGGCAATCCAAAATAGTTACATGTACTATGTTACAGAAAGTACTGCTTTTGAAGAAGTTTGGAAATTGTGTGCATTTTTGTTTTCAGTATGTTTAATCTTATATTTCCTGATCAAAATACTACAGTGATGTGTATACTAGTGTATTGCAAAAATACATGCATGAATTCATAATTTTAAAATACATTAAAAGCATTCTTACAGAAAATAAAGTATGTAGACAGTTGTAGGAACTGAGCTCTGTGAAAAGCTAAACTCACCTCTGAAACTGAGGGAAACAGGAGTGGAGTAATTAGGAAACAGGTATTATCAAACCATAAAATGTTTGTTTTGTTATGGAGAAAGCAGTTAATTTTTATTTTTTTTTACTGGAGAAGGCAGTATCAGACATAGATGCTTGCGTGGTAGTTAATTGCATTCCATATATGAATCCAGACATACATCTTAGGGAGGAAAGTTGCATTTTAAAGATAGGATTTTGGATTAAGCAGTGGAATTGAGTAAGGGCTTGTAAGAGTGCAGATTATAGAAAAGTGAACTGGAAAGTGATTTGCCACAGCTCCTCTGCTCCTTCAGCAACTGAGAACAGATAAAGCACTAAGTTAGAGTTGATAAACCTCTTGAATATTCAAAATTGTTTCCCCTGTATAAATGCTAGTTCTTCTTTAGAGATTGTTAATGTCTTGTGGTTCATTCAGTTGGTTTGTAATAGTTGTAGTTGGTGGTGTTGTGTAAAACCTTAAACTCTAATGTTTGGTTACATTTGGCTAAGAGTTATGAATGTGCTTCGTGCTTGCATGTCCTTCATAATTACTAAAATGTGTCCTGCCTTTATAGTATGGACAGGAGCTTTTTTCTAAGTAGACTGAAGTATAAAGGATAGAATTTTCCAGAATTTTTGCTTGTAAAAACTTGCTAGAAGAGAAAGTCAACCCACATCTAGGAAAAAGAATGTCAGTAGCATGCTTCCAGATTAGGTATTTCCCATTTGATGTACCATGGTCCAAAAGGTGGTTTTTCTAGTCTGCTGTGAGAAGAAAATCAGTGTCCATCTCCTGTTTACCTTTCAATTGTATTACAGCTATAGTATAGGTAGTACATAGTTGTTACTGCACATCCTTTGCTTTATTTTTTGGTATGAAATTGGGAATTTTAGTTTAGTCTTCACAGAAGGAAGGAGGAAGAGGTAGCTACAGAAATCAGAAGTGATAGCCAACACCTTTCACTCTGATTTTGAGGATGAGGGGGAGTTTAATAGAACTAGTGGAAAAACAAGCTTCTAATACTAAAGCCACAATGTACTCTTAGATTTATTGGTGACAATGCCCTGTTTGCTTCATCTCTTGTATCTCAGGAATAGTCAATTTAAATAACACTATAGTAATTGTAATTCTAAGTGAAACAGAGTTGTGAATTATGTATTACAGGAAAATTCACCAAAGTAACAGTTTATTACTGTGGTTTTGTATTCTGTCCTATCATTGTTTTCATTTGGTCATCAGTTGATGCAAAAGCAAAAGCAAAACTTTAAAAAATATTTAAGTTGCCTGTCAGTGCAAGATTTTTATCTCAGTGTGAATGTGCAAGTAGCTTTTAGAATTTGTGCTTAGTACTTGTATGAGGAGTTAGTGGCAGTGTAGAAGGATGCAGTACCAGGAAGCACAGTCTTAAATTTGTATTAGCCTTATCATCTCCATAAATACAGTAACATAACTTATTCCAGGCATTACAGCTTTTTGGTTGAAGGAGGTATAACACATAGGTATTGGTAACAATTCTTGTGGTCACTGGAACCTAGTCAGATGAGATTTCAGAAGAGGTTCATTCATGTGTTGTGACATCAGGCTTTTGGGATGCAGAGAGTACTTAAAACTTACTCAACTAATTGCTAATTCAGTGTCAAGGCTAGAAATGATTCTGTGATAAAGGAAGATTCAGAAAAATTTGGTTGCCTACATATCTTTGACAGAAAGCAGTCAACATGATATGTCAAAATTAAATATAGAACAATTTTGTGTTTTGCTAATAAGTATTTCTTCTGTTTCATGCCTGTGTATTAAGAGGTGAAAAGTTGTAAGCATACAAAGCAAGTTTGCAGATGATAGAAATCTGGGAGGAGTTGCTATATCCCTTGAGGGCAGTGTGGCCCTGCAGAGCCACCTCGACAGATTAGAGGTCTGGGCAATGACCAACCATACCAAGTTCAACACAGGAAAGTGCTGGATTCTGCACCTGGGATGGGGTAACCCTGATTGTATGGACAGACTAAGGAACAGTAGTGCCATGGAGCAGTTGGTTGCATGACCTGGGGCAGCTGGTTGACAGAAAGTTTGGTTTGAGTCAGCAGTCAGCAAACTGGCCCAGCATGGTCAGCCAGGCAAGGGAGGGTATTGTCCTGCACTAAGAAAGACATTCAGCTATTGGAGAGCATCTAAAGGAGACCACAGGGGTGATGAAGGTGTGGGAGACCAAGTGGCTGTGGTCACTTGGTCTGTTCAGCCTGCAGAAGAGGAGACTGAGGGGAGAACCCATAGCAGCCTACAACTTCCTCAGGAGGGAAGAGAATGGGCAGGCACTGCTCTGTCTCTGTGGTGCCCAGGGACAGGACTCGAGTAAATGACCTCAAGTTGGGTCGGGGAGGTTTAGGTTGGATATCAGGAAAAAGGTTTTCACATGGAGGGCAGTTGGCCACAGGAACAGACTCCCCAGGGCAGTGGTCACAAGCACCAAGCCTGACAGATTTCAAGAAGCATTTGGACAGTGGTGTCAGGCACATGACGTGATTCTTGGGAATTGTGCTGTGCAAGCCTAGGAATTGAATGATCTTGTCCAACCCAAATGTTCTCTGCTTCTGTGAATTCACAGTTCTAATGTGTTTTGGTAGGAATAGAAGATGGATCTTTTTCACTTTTACTATATGAACTATAAAATTCAAGAATTCCATAATCGCAGCAGTTTAAAAAATAAAATTATTTTTGTAAAAGGGTATAACGTAAATTCTACAGTGCCTGCAACTATATACAATATACAAAAGATACAATTCTAAAATGCCTCTTGTGGCCAAAAGAAATTAATGAAAGGGGAGCTGGTGTAGGCAATCTATAAACTTATCACTAAATACTCCCAAATTATTCTTTCAGTAGATCCTGAATATAGGTCTTGCAGTGGAAGGAAGTGATGAAGTAAGCCATAGTGTTCCAATTTTCTCCAACCCAGAAATAGAAGCAGTGCTGATTATTTAAGTAAAAGAGGGTTTCAGTCATGTGTAGTTTGCATAATCATGAATCTGTTTATTGAGTTCTGAATCTGCACTATAATTGTGATTTATTGCTAATATGCTTTCTTTTTCCTCCTTGGATTTTCCAGATCTTTCAGGCACAATCCATACTTGAAGTCACGAAGTATCTAGGGAGACATAAATCTGATGATAGATTAGGATTGTTGATCACAAACCGTTATTAAGTCCTTTGTATAACTTTAGGGTATTTTCAGTTTGTGATTAATATCCCTAGCTGTAAAGAGAGACTTGGTTTAAACATATGTTACTAGAGAGACAAAGCTTTCCAGAACAGTCTGTTTGATCTATTACGTACTTCTTTTTGGGGTGAGTTAAGTCTTCCTTTTGATGTATCAGTTCTTTCTGTATAGAGGGGTCTGAAGGTGATTACTATATGAGATTAGAATTATTAGATGCTGTCCTTAGAACACATTGTGCATATTAGGATCACTCTGCATATACATGAATTCAGCAGTGCGTATGTTAAATGTATGTTGCCTGTTGAAGTGTAGTATTGCATAATCATACTTTCTTGAGAGACTGACAGTTGTTCAAATGTTTTATTGAATAGATAACCCCAAAAATGTTCTCATGTACTCTACATATTCTTTCAATATTAGAAATGGGCAAATACAACTATGTTACTGTATAGTGGGGGAAGAAAGCGGTACAGATTACACCTGTTTTTCTTTTTTCTCTTTTTTCAGATCATTTAATGTTTGGAGTTACCTCCAAATACTTTATTTAAATCTGGACTCATATTGCCTACCATTTAAATGATAATGAGCTGCAGTTCATAGTGATAAGAGTTGGCAGTGTATCATAAAAAGTTTATCCTAATATCTTTCAGTTTAGAGCCAATCTAGAAATGTGAAAAAAAGAATACTTAATAGATATTTTTAAAGCACCCTGATAATAGAGCAGATGATGCCTTAAATGTTTGTCTTTGAGACAGTGGGTCCAGATAAAAGGATTTGATATATCATACCAGATAACAGAGGGGGTTTTAAGACTGTTTTTCCAAGGTGAAGATGGGATAAGTTTTTATTTCCTAGATAGGACTCGCTATGCTATTGTCTTAACTCTCTTTGAGCTGAAAGTCTCAAGTGTGTGCATAGTTGGGAGTGCTTGAGGAAATGGCTTAGTAGTGAACTTATTGGTGTTAAGTTGATGGTTGGACATGATCTTAAAGGTTTTTTTTCCCAAATAAAATAATTATATCCGAAAGGAGAGAAACATAAGTTCATTTTTTTCATGTGTCTTCTTTCATACTATAGATAAGCCTAGATCAAAACTCTACTCCAGAGTATTCCTGGCTACTATGTGATTATTATTCTTTAATGTGTTCTGTAATTTAACCTGAAATTGGCTGAAAACATATTACCTTCAAAAGAAATAAATGCACATCATAGTGCATCTACACCGCCTTGGTGTAGATGACCAAAATACAAGATTATAATTCTTAGTTATAGTTACTGCACAAAATTAATTTTCCTTGACCTTTTTCTTACATAGTAAGGTACTGTTTTCGTTGACTACCCATTATTTCAAAGTTGAAGATGGAGGTGAAAGATCAGTCTGTGTCACCTTTGGTTTTTTCTTCTTTGTGAAAGCAATGGCAATACTTATTGTGACAGAAAACTATCTAGAGTTTGGATTAGAATCAGGTAACCCCTTTCTTTAGTGTCTGAAACAGCTGTAGTGATTGCATGATCTGAAAAAAAATTATTTCCAGTGTTTTTGAGAAAATCTGTGTTATTATGAATGGTTTAAGTCATATGCTTCTAAGAAAATTTGCTTTGTAATGAAGATTGTGAATAATATCCTGTATATTTTCCTGCCTTTCTCTTAAATAGTGTAATCTTTGCCTAGCTTGTTGATTTTGTTAATTGTATTTGCCTTCCAGTTATAGGCTTAGCCTGTTTTGATTTTCATAGTAAAGTGTAGCTCCCGTACTGGAGAAGAATTTTAAAAGGTTTTTTTTTTCACCTTTCTGAAATGTTGAAATATTGCAGATATGAAGATATTAATGAAAGCTTTATTGTGTTGTGGCCAAATAATTAGCACATGAAAGAGCTCTACTAGACATATGAAAAATTGTTTGAAAGATGACTTGTTAACCCAGCATTTTATTTCACGAAAGGGATTCTTCATTTGTACTGTAATAAAATAAATATATGTGTCTCTGCAGGATTCTCGAATTTCTCAGAAAGTGCTATGCAGTTTCTTGAAAAACAAGGTTTGGAATCCCAGTAAGTAATAAGGAATCCCTTATTTCTGGAAATACACTTGCCTGTTTATTTGTGTATTTATAACTTGTCTGTTTTTATGTGAATTTATGAACCATTTGGATTTTCTTAGGAAGCCTTTGACACATGTTTTACTTTTGTACATGGTTTTAATCCCTACAACATTTTAAAAAAGTTAATAACGAGATCTGAAAGTACCCACAAATAACTAAACTTGCATTAAAGTTTTTAATATGGAGATAATTTCTGACATTTTGATTGTAGTTCATAAAATCAAAAGTTCAAAACTGTAAATACTTTTTTTCACAGTATTTCATTTCAGCAAGGATTGCTTAAATAGATAAGTATTTTTTGTCATTCCTGTGGCATGCAAGAGGATGAGTATGCAAAAGCTACAAGATGGAGTTTGTGTTAAAGTTCGCATTAGGGATAAATTGTGTTGTTCAGTCCCGTTTTCAGGTTTAGCTGTGTTCCTATCACACAAAAACACCTGGTTGTTGCAGGACATCCAAGCCTTATATGGACTGTTGAAGGAACATGCCATAGCTTGTGATTTTATATAAAAACACAGACACTGTCATAGGCACCCTTTGTATATTGCAAAATGGATTTCTGTTACAGTACCTTATACATGTGTGCTAAAATTTAGGGAGAATTTCACTAGGAGCATTGAACTTCTTGCTTGGTGGGTCTCAAGTACCATGCAGAAGCCATGGTGTATCTTTATTTTTGGGGAACAGAAGTTTCCTCAAACTAGATTAGTGCAATTTATGAATAAACTCATGGGACACTGGTAACTGAATCCCATGTGTTTCTTAGCCTTTCTTCAATCTGCTTTCCTGGGGTCACTAACTTCTGTATTCATTTTCATGTTAAGTGTTTGTTTAGTTATAAACAAACACTAGTTTAGTTACTGCAGTGCTTTGCCTTTTTTAGCAGCAGCTGAGTTGATGATGATGTCTCTTGGTGGTTTATGTGATACAAATTATGAAAGAATCTGAAAGTCGTTTGAATCACTAGATACGGTTTTGTTCCTCTTTAATCTGCTAGTTACATTTCACTGTAACTGATGTTTTCTTGTTTGTTTGAGCATTTTGTTTTGTTGTTTTTTTTGCTTTGTGTTATCCTGTGTTTGTTTATTATGTAATTAATTATGTGATTTGGTTGATCATGGATATTTTTCACGTAGTTTTTTTAATACACAATACTAATCACTTGGAAGAGACATGTTAATGCCCCATGTAGATTTCACATAAATCTGTGAAAAACTGCAGTAATAACAGTTTGACAGAGATTTGCAGTGGATAATAGTAGAATAAAGTATCCATTTTGTCTTTGAGCAGTTAAACTTGTGAGACATCTGTTCTCCTTAAAAACACAATCCTGAAGTTCATTCTATTTTAGCTATTTCTATCATATAATTTGTTGTTAATTATAATATAAAATTATTATTATTTTCCTCTCTACTAACAAATTAACATCTCACATTCAGTAAATTAGGTTTTCTGTTTCTCTAGGAAAGAAATAGGTGACTTGGTTTGGTTTTGAAAGTATTTTCTAAAATTATGATTTCTGATTGTTACTATTTTTCAATAATGCTGTTATTCTGGAGGAAGCCTATAGAATACTGTTGGCTTTTTTATTAAATGTTAGATACTGTTGGGTTGAAAATAGTCTCTGATACTTCCCCACTCCCTCAACTTCCTCCCCAAGAAAATGCTTATTTCCTTTCTTTTCTTTTAGGGGTCCTGTGTCCAAACTAACCTTCAAATTGTTCCTGGCTGTTCTGTGTTCACTTATTGGTGCTTTTTTGACATTCCCTGGCTTGCGACTGGCTCAGATGCATCTGGATGCTCTGAATTTAGCAACAGAAAAAATAACACAGTAAGAAAAAATATATGCAAATAGGTATATGCTACTCAATCTTAAATCTTTTATGTCTAAAAATAAACAAAGCAAACTATTCCAACAAGAAGGTAGTAACTTAAGACTTCTGTTGCTGCCTGCTTTTCATATCTTGAGCAGATTTGCCACCTGCCACTTTCTGCTCAGCCTGTGCTCTGCCAGTCTGTTACATCCCTTGCCTTGTAATTAAGAGTCCCAATTAAAGGAGCTTTCCTTTCCTCCTGCAAGAGCTCCACCATGAATGTCTCTGTGTCCAGCTTTCTTTCCCCCATCACATCTTTCTGGAAGTTAAGATAACCTTCAGGAAGTACAAGTACAACCACAGACTGTTTTTTTTCACCCATGCTTCCAGGTGGACGTTATTCCTTAAATAAATCTAACATAGGATAAAATCCAAAAATGACCCAGAATTTTTAATAAGGTTTAATAAGGTCATATGTTAATACCAATTTAAAGGAATATTTTCATTTTCAACCATCCTTCCATTTGGTAGTAAAACGTTCTGTCCAGTTTAACTATTTCTCTTGAGCATTCTCTGGTTGAGAGGCTGAAACTCCAAGTGACTTTCAGAGATCTTGACTTGTTGTTTAATACATGATAATAACAGATTCTGCAGCATAGAGCAGTGTGGGTACTCAGTCTGGTAAATTTCTTAAGAGAACCATTATGTTTTCCCATAGGAAAATAATTTTTGTTCAAGCTGCATTTTTTTTTCTTTACCTTCAGGAATGTTCAGCTTAAAAATTAATCTGTTTGAAGTGAATCTATCAGTCTTGGTAAATTTATAAACAAGTACACTTGCAATCAGTGTATTTTCCATGTATAGCAGCCAGCTACTGGCTAGTTTTATCTGGTGTTACATTTCTGTCTGTGAATAGACTGTGGTTGAGTCACTTCCTAGTCTCTTCTTTCCAGATAGATAAACTACTTAGTTCTTAATTTTTATGGTTCTCAATATTTTTAAAATTCTTTGTGTCTTTTTTGTAAGTATTCCAACATTTTCCTTGATCAATGGACATGACATCCTAGGCAGAAATACAAACTCTTTGAAACAAAAATCCATTAATCAAGACCTGAAAGGCAATTAATATCCATTGAAGTGTGCTTATGAAAATTAAAACTTGTCTAACTTCTTTAGAGGATACTGGAACTGGTTGTTGAAGATAACTTTGTTCAACACCACTGAATTATTTTTGGAAGCCCACCAACACTTTGACTATTCAACTGGAACAGAGTGAAAAATACATTAAATTGATTAAAACTTGATAAGATATCCATATAATTAGGCAAAGCCATGACAAGAATATTTTTCAAGTTATAGGTTCTAATAAACCTGAAGAACATAACTTGTCCTTGCTGATGCATTTTTGTTAATGGATAGATAATTTATTGACTACAGTTGTTTGGTAGGGACTAAAGGGGTGTTGTAAATGAGGATGATGTGTCACTGATGCAAAGCTCTCCCCAAGTTGGGTGCTAAAACACTATCTATTTCTGCAGTTAAATATGTACTCTACTTAAAAAACCCTAACCAAAACAACTGCAAAGAAAAAGTCAAACAACTAAACAAAACACAAAAACAACAAAAACCAAAGGAAAAAAACTTAATCAAATCAAAAGCCCCCATGTCCCTTAAACTGCCCAAAACAAGAATCTCCCTTAAAACCCAACAAAAGAACCAAAACTGAACAACCCAAAAAAGCCCAACACAAAATCTATTCCTTAATGGAATGGAGCACCTAACTTTGCAGAGAACATTGACCAAAGAAAGGCTGAAAATTTAAGGGTTAATGATCAAGTACTACTTCACTATGTTCAAAATTATTTGCGTGACTTTTTTATGAGTATAGGGAGTAAGTTCATTGGTTTGGGGTAAACAGAATAAAAATCATCTGGTGTCCCTTTTGGTTTTGAAAACTGCTTTGATTTTTTTTTCTGTGGCAGTAGTATCCTTCCCTGCATATATTTGGAGCCTTCTTAACAATTTTTTACAATTTTCATACACATTCCCTCCTTTTCCAGAGCCTGCATCAAGAGTATTTCCGCCTTCCTGCCTGTTCCAAAAAAAAAAACCAAAACCACTGTGTGTGATGACTGCTTCTGTAACATGCAAGCAGTTTAATGGTTTCAGGAAGTTCGATAGTTTGCAATCAGGATGGTCTTGTGTTCTTTAGAATAATTTCTGATTACATCATTTTTCCTCATCATAATGCAGAAGCATTGTTGTGAGGGTGGAGACATACCTGATTCTGTTAGTGAGGAAATACTGCACTAAAAAAAAACCTAGTCTCTTCAATTGTTCTTATTTCATTTTAGTAATGAAAAATTATTGGGAAAATGGGTTTAAAAATAGAGAAGAAAATTTAGGAGTTTAGAAATAAAGAAGGATATTAATTTCAAAGAGAATTCCAAAAACTGTATCCCCTTTTTAAATTCTTCTGTGTGTACTCAAAGATTACTAAAGAGTACTACTATTATTTTTGTTGTTCAGTTTCATACAGTATTTTTTTTGATCTGAGTATCTTTAATTGAATATAAGTACAAAGTTTTATTAAATCAGGGTTTTTAAATAAGATGCTTCATTAAACTGTGAAATCTGACCTCTGGCTACTGTTTGTCCTGTTCTTTTTAAAGCCAAAATCCAGTGTGATTTCACAATACAGAATATTACTATTTTGTTGAAATGTAAGTCATACCTATAAAATTGGGAAGTAATCTTCTTATTTATCTTCCAACTATTTTAAAGTTAATATTTCTCCTTTTGAATCTGTTTACAGTTTCAACAGTATGGTCATTGTTTTTGTTTACTAAGTTCCCTCTTTTTTTTCTTTTTTCAGAACATTGCTACATATAAACTTCTTGGCACCTTTATTTATGGTTCTACTGTGGGTAAAACCAATCACTAAGGACTACATTATGAGCCCACCTTTGGGCAAAGAGAGCATTCCTTTGTAAGATTTCTTTTACAAGTTCTTTCTGGGGAACTGAGGTCAAAACATTGGCTTAGAGCTCTTTGAAAGTCGTAGAAACGTGAAAGACTTTAATAGCATCTGCTGTCAGAGATATTGTGGAAGGTACAGCTGAATTCTAAAGAGCTTCTGGTAGTTGAAAAGAATGAGAATTGGTTGCAGAATGTTGCATGTTAAGCTGGTGGTCCCCAAAAAGCTGCTGTCTTCTGACATCTCCTTGGCAGTAATTCATTGTTTTTTTCTAGGGGTGGAATACCACCTCACTAGTACCTGCTGGAACCTTGTATCTTGCATCATACTGACGTAGGAGAGAAGTGGTTTCACTAAAAACAGTCAAGATACATTGGAATGAGAACTAAGCTAGGAAGTTTATCTTAAGATTGACATGCTGATGAAGTGGTATTGAATTGATGGGTAGAATATTTAAAATATAAAAAGCGAAAGAGTTTCCAAGAAGAGTGGTCTATAATATCATAGTGGATTGTCATTGTCACAATTAGTCTTGGTAATTCCAAATAGACTTGAAACAGATACAGTGGGCTGATACATTTCTTGCTTTCTAGAGGTGAGATAAGCTTCTAAAGTGATCCTGTGACTGTTGAACTATTACATAAAACACAAGAGATATACATATTTTGTGTATCTTTTGTTCCTCAGTTCATCTTACAGTCATGGTTGAGCTATTACTGGGTGTCTCAGGCAACCGAAGTACCCATTTACAATCTAGTACTATTTTCTATCTAGTCCTGTGCGTGTCTGAAAACCTGTCATTGTCTGAGCAACCTTGGTTTTTAGTGTTCTGCCTTCATTACTCAGAATTTAAGCATTTAAGAACTGGTCTTGTTTACAGACAAATAAATAGTAATTCTATGCTGTAGGGCTACTCAGAAGTAGTAGGAAAGAGAAGGCGAAAGTAAACATTACTTACGTGTGAACTTCATAACTGTAGTTTGTGTGTTAAATATTTTTGACAATTTGCCTCAAGATTACTTTAGAGATGATTGATAAAAACAAATAACTAGCAGTAAATGGTCTTTGGAAAACATCATTACCCTTTTTTTATTATCCACAGAATGTCAGAGGACACATTTGATACCGTCAGATTGTGGATTATAATCATGTTGTGCATTTTACGGTTGGCTATGATGCGTCATCATTTACAGGCCTATCTGAATTTAGCCCAGAAAAGCGTGGATCAGATGAAAAAGGAAGCTGGTAGAATAAGTATGGTTGATTTGCAGAAAATGGTAAGTATGGTGGCACTACATATATATATATGTGGCACTACAAATATATATATATATATATATTTGTAGTAATTTGACTGCAAATGTGTTGCAGTCAGCAACCTCAGGATCTCATCCAGGGAAATAGCAGGATTCTGGGGACCAGCATCAGACACCAACGAGACAGGCTCCCATTCATGAAACCATTTATTCAGCATGGGAACAAAGTCAGGTTCAGAACAGAGAGCCCTGAACAGAGGCACAGCAGGGGTTTTTGAGGGACAGAACTCTCAAGGGTCCCCACCTTTGAGGGTGGAGTTCAGGGTCAGGGACCAGTAGAAGCACACCAAGGGAGAAACCCCCAGGGACTCAAACCCAATCAGAGCACCTGGGCCGCCCTTCTCAAGGGGTTTGGGGTGGGACAGTGGAACTCTTTGTCTCCCCTGAGGCTGCTGCCACACAAATGATTTTTTTTCCAACTGGTTGTTTTCTGTGACAGCAGAGCTCAAATCTGAATGAAGCTTTCTAGACTATCTCCTGTAAAAACAGCATCATTACAGAGGAGAAATTCTGCAAACCAAAATATGGAGAGATGTATCATATGTGTTATGCAGATTGTTTGTCCTTGGTTACTTGGAAGCTGTTGAAAAAGAGTGGTGATCTGTAACTACTACATGGGAAAGAAAAAATTTAATTTTGGTAGATGGGTAGAATACTGTTACCAACTGTGACTTTTAAATTGAGGGAAAATTTATGATAAGGTGGTTATATTTTGGAATAAAATGTCAGATGTTTAATTCTGTCAGGCCACTTTGAAGTTCACCAGCCTAGTTAAAAAATTGCCTCTTTTATTGTGGACAAGGGAAAATTTCTGAGGATTTTTTTTTTTAAAGAAAACTAGTGAAGCATACATTGAAGAAATGGAGGCAGAATGGCTGCTGTGTTGTCTGAAAAGTAAATTTCTAGTGTTGCATAATCTGTCTAATGATCCTGCTGAATTGGGGTCTATTGCAGGAGGAATATTGAAGCATGCCAAAAGACAAAGACTCCTCTTCCAGGATTGTCTTTATTACTTGTTACACTAAGTGTCTGAAGGTCGTAAGTGAACTGTGCTGTAGTTATTACAAAGTAGCTAGGAGTTTGCTCCAGAAAAAAATAATTAGGAAATACATGCAGTAGCAACTGGTTAGGATGGAACTGTGCCAATTGCTCTAAATGCACTGTTTTAGAGCATTTATTCCTGTCTATAAAACAGTATTGTCCTCTCAATGTGGCATTTCTTAAATCCATTTCTCCAGTGTCTTCATATAATCTCTTTGAGAAGGCTGTAATAACTAGATGTCATCTTGTCTTCTTTTACTCATCATATCTGTTTTACCTTTTCTAGAACTTCTGCCAGTGAAGTCTTTCCTGTCATTCTACAGTGATCATTACTTTTTAATTTGTTATTTTTGTCATATTCTATCAAGTTTTGACAATATTTTTGTCTCATGGTTTTTCTTTGGTCAGTGTCTTACTATTATTTTTTTCTCATGTGAGTTTTTTGGTGCTTGCTCATTAAAAAGCCCTTTGAGGCTTGAGAGGTATTCCAAAAACGATCATGTCTGCCTTCATCATATTTGCTGCCCTGCATTCTGTTCTTTTTTAAATGCCAGGTAGTTTTATTTCACTACTTGCTTGCTACTGATTTTATCACTTTTTTCCATCTTTATTTAATTTAATCTTTTAGGCCAACAGCTTCTGTAAAATACATAATGTTACAATCTTGAGAAAAATGGAACAGATGGAGAGCAGGGGGAGGGATATATCTGAATGGATTTTAATGAACCATAGTGTATGGTTGAAATGAAGACCATTTAAATGCAGTTGTTGATCTAACGAAAAATCATCATTGTTTTTAAAATACAAGTGTTTTCCAGTTGGAAATCTTAAAAATATCTCACTTTTGAAAAAGGACTGTAATATTAACCAGACTTTCATTTACTTTTTATGGGGCTTTGGAATGTGACTACTACTTCATTTTTGAAATAGGATTTAGTTTGTAAATTACTGGGAACTTGAAAAATAAAACATATATATATTTTTGTTTCTGGTGTATTAAAATAGGAATCATTGAATGATGGAATAATGGAATGCATGCAGTTTGCAGAAGCAAAATTGATCTTTGTTTTAACAGAATTGAGGCTTTTAGTTGTATCCTTTCAGCACTTCCTCTCAGATTTGTAAATGTCCTGAAACTAGAATTCATTATGGGGATTTCTTCATTAGGTCATTTGAAGACATTATGTCACATGTCAAGAGTTATTAGAAAATTATTTAAACGGCTTTAATGTATAAGTACTGGGTTTTTTAATAATTTCTTTTTCTAGACATGTTCATAAAGGTCTGCTTTGATCAACCAGGATTAATGAACTTTACTCTCTTTCATTTTTCCAGGTAGCTCGAGTATTCTATTATCTCTGTGTAATTGCACTTCAGTATGTTGCACCAATGGTAATGCTCCTTCACACAACTCTGCTCTTGAAAACACTAGGTAGGCAAAACTGGATCAACAGTCATTTATTCTGTTCTACACAGAAACTTTTTTATTTTCACCTGACTCAAGAGAATTAGAGAATTAGAATTCATGGGTACTTGCAATACAAAACCACCTTGTAGTTTCTTGTACTTTAAAACATTCGTATGTTGTGTGCCATTTAAGTGGTTTTTTCTGTTGCTGCTTTTGATATCTTTCAATTACATGCTACTTTGTTTGATTTATTTCTAAAAAATTGTGTAATGCAACCAGTTTAACTGTTTACTTCTGTTGAAGTATTTATCTTTTCAGAAGTATTTTAAAATTGAACTGTATAAAGCATGATAGATTTAACTTCATGAGCTTCTCTTAAAGGAATTTTTTCAGCCTTTTTATCGGTAGTAGACTTAGAATGAGAGATGTAAGATATGGGGTTCATGTAGTTACTGGGAGACGTGAAGTAGGTCTGGTTGTGTTTTTTTTTAATTTCATTCTTGTGAGACATGTCTTTCATAGCCTGCCATGCAGTTGTGTCATTCTCTTTGCAAAAAGGCGATGGATAGAGATAGGCTTTAGTAGGTTGTGATTCATCCTGCCCTGGAGTAGACATCTCCATCTGGTGAGATGAATCATACCCAGAACACAGCGGTCTCAAGGCAGCTACATCACATGTAGATGTTAGGATGTCAGAATACTAGATGAATCCTGCCCTAGTAGCTTGCTGGTATGACCAGAAAGTCATGCAGATGAATATAGTTTTTATTGACTAAGTTAGAAAAACTTCACATTTTTGTGTGTGTATTAAAAATACATCAAAGACAATCTGTAGAGTGATTGAAGTAATGGAACTTGAATTTAATTCTACAAAAATCTGTTACTTGTTTCTTTTTAACAGGTAATTATTCTTGGGGCATCTACCCAGGACTGAATTCTGACACTCCAGTAGAAAACAGTCTGCTTCCCAATTCTGTTTATTCTGAGTCTCCACCTGCTGATGGAAAGATGAAAGTAACTGTAGTACAAATAACAATGGCTCTGGGAAGCCTAAAGAATATTTTCACTCCTCTCCTGTTCCGGGGACTCCTGTCTTTTCTCACCTGGTGGATTGCTGCTTGCCTATTTTCAACAAGCCTTTTTGGGCTCTTCTATCACCAGTACCTGACTATGGCGTGAACAAGTCAACTGACAGAGCAAATGTGAGGTCAAATACTAGATGCAAACCCAGGTATCCAAGAGGAGATGAAGAGAAACCTATATATGTGAAGAGAAAACATATCATAATTATTTTTAAACACTTCCTTGGTGTTCTCAGGGTGAATAATCTTAAAATGTTTAAAATTTCAACTGGGTTTGTTATTTTTGTTACCCAAATGGTAGGTAACTAATTCAGTTATAGTCCTGGGATTGACTGACATTATTGTGTTGTAGATGTTGGTAAGCATGCTGAAAAGATGTGACCTCTGAGTATCTTGGTTTCCATAAACAGCAAGCCAAACTCAAAAATTTGCTTTTTAAGCATCAACAGTCACTGACTGAACTGCATTCAAAGGGTACTGGACATAGTGATGGTGGCTGCCTATCAATTAAGTCTTGAAACTGAGCCATACAGTGAAAGGAGAGAGAGGGGATTTTAAAAAAAAAAAATCTGTTGGATAGCTATTGATCACTTTTCTCCTTGGAAAATGAAAAAATCCAACAGGACTAAAGAGATACTGTATATTACAGTAAGGAAAGTTGTATAAAATATAAATTTAACAGGAGTAGATGTATGTACCTGGCAGGTATTGCTGCCTACATATTTTGCAGGAGTGCTTGTGCAGTAAGAAGAGAGTTATAACAAATACATTATTTCAGTCCCTGAAGTCATTTTGAAGTAATGGCCATCTGTATTGGTGCTAGTATTGATCCACAGATTGCATCTGGATCTTTTAAATTTCTTCTTTTGATGTAGTAGATAAATTCCATTGAATTTACAAAAGAATAGAAAATAATTAGTGACACCAGTCAAACATTTCTAAACAAAACAGTTTAATCCTGCTGACTGATGGAGTATGTGTAATATGTGTAATGAACATATAAATATATATTATATATTAAATATATAATATATATGAAGGTATGAAATATGGAATCTTTATTTTAAATTCCTGAATGTATCTTACAGGGCTGTGGGAAAGGGTTATATGTGTATCTAGTAATTTCAAGATTCCCTTTTGAAATTAAACTAAATTTTTTTCTTCTTTTTTTTATTTTTTTTTTTTTAGTTCAGGTGGAAGGGCTATTTGGGTTTTGTACCTCTTTAGAGGTACTTAGCTATACTGAAGAACTTACACTGTCTTGGAAGAAAAGATCTACTTGAACTGTTAATCTTAAAATTTCTCCTCCGTCAAATCATCTTTTGCCAATTTAATCTGTGCTAACTTGACCGTATAATGATAATTAATATATCTTGGCTTCAGAAATAGGTTTTCTGTATAATAAAACAGCTATGTAATAAGAAAAAGAGCAAAGTACTAACTTTACAGTTTTTGCTTAACTGGAGAGATAGGTTCCAATCATAAAATTAATGACGTTTTTTTCAGATGTTTTGTGTATTTGCAAAACAGAAATGGGGATTTCTATGTAATAGCTTTTTTAAACATTATACTTTGCAGAAGTCAGTGGGTTTTTTAACTAATACTAGCTGATTTTATGTTACTGTTCTTTTTCTCTTGAATTTGTGTACAGCTTTGACATATAATAAGCATTTATAAATGGAAAAGCTTAACTAAATATTTAATATGTAGCAAACCTACCATATGGGAAAACAAACTCAATGAATGCAGAAAATCAAGATTTTAAGCTGGTGATAAACTATTTTACTGTGTTGAAAACATTTTAAGTTATTTATTAGTTTATTAAGTTGCGTTTTTGGGGGAAGGATTTATGTACACCAGCCTAATACCTACTGCATGCATTTTGGATGTCAGAGAACACCTTGCATGACACTACTGGTTTCATTGCAGTATTTCAGTGTGACTGGGGCTGCAAGCTTTGTTGTTTTCACACCAACTTTTTTTAACTAACAAGGATGAAGGCTTAACTGTGAATTGGCTTAAAGGATAATATTTGACCTCATAATTTCAAATCTCAAAGCATTCCCAGGAAGTATCTTTCAGATGAATAATTGAATGACAAAATATGACAAGTCCAACAATACTGGACCCACTTTTGTATTAGTTCAAGATATATCATTACTACAAGATACAACATCGCTAATATAATTAATAAGTCCAGCTTTTAGGTTAGAGTTAAGTGTTCAATGCCAATCTTTTGTTCAGAAAAATAAAACAGTGCAAAACATTTGATTCTGATAGTGAACTTGCCTGATGAAGCTCATTATATAGGAGATGTAACCTGTTGTTACAATCTGGAGTAAATTTTGGATACTTAAGAATATTTCAAACTAATATTAAAAAGTTTCTGCTGATACAGTCATTCTGAAAGCTCATAATCAAAAGTGAACTGCAGTTATATAATAATGCATTCAGCAGAGGTAATAACTGGATCATGTACCTGAACTTCACAAAGCTTTTGCTAAGAGCATATGGCACCTTACTATTCAGACATCACACTGATCACCGTGAAAAATAGGCACCTGGTGTTAGAAACATGAGGATCTGTGCTTGTAGCCACTGTGCTGTTTCATTGTTCTACAGAACTGAATGCTTGACCTCCTGGTCAGCAGTGAGGGCAAGGTAGTCTTTCTTTTGATCCATTCAATCCTGTCATGAGTCCGCAAGGCTTATGGAAAACTAAAATATGGCAATAAAAGCCTTTGAAACATATGGTGACAGTGAAACCAGAGGGACCATATTGCTAAAGTTGTGAGCAGTGCTTCCTACAAGTATGTGATATGATCAAAAATGTGTTTTAAAGTAGCAACCATGGTAGTCCTGACTTCATGTGTATTGTGTGAGGTTCAAAGGAAAATCTGCTCACTTCTGTAGTAAGTTCCTTTGAAACAGCAGCTGGCAAATGCTTTTATTGTTTGTTTGGTTTTTTGTTTGTTTCATGGAAACCTTTATCAGCACCTGTCAATGGAGGGAAATAATCTTGCAGAAATGGAAAAGCAAGTAAAACGTGACTGAAAGGTTGATAGGTGTTACTCAGGTTTATAAACATTTTGTCTAGCTTTTTGCCCTCTACTTAGCCAAAAAATTTTAGAATGGTTTGGGTTGGAATGAATCTCAAATGGACTAGTTTCCACCAGACCAGGTTGCTCCAAGCCCTGTCAAACATGGCCTTGAACACCTCCAGAGATGGGCAGCCACAGCTTCTCTGGGTAACTTTTATCTAGTGCCTCACCACCTTCACAGGCAAGAGTGTCCACCTAACACCTCCCCTTTTTTAGTTTAGAACTGTTCCCCCTTGTCTCTGCCTGTGCAAAAAGTCATTCTCCCTCTTTTTTATAAGCCCCCTTTAAGTACTGGAGGGCACAGTGCGATCTCCCTTAGTTTCTGAGAGATTTTAGAAGGAAAGGTTTGGAAGGAAATGTTCCTTTGGCAAACAATCTTTGTCTGTTTCTTCTTAAATTAAGATCTCCCTTCGTCTTTTAGTGATAGGATTCAATTGCCAATCTACAGCACTTTCCCTGTGTTTCCTACTCAGAACCAAGTAGGCTAAATTAGTTCAAGATTGTATTTTGACTTCTGTTTAGTTTATCTATTTTTGAAGGATTATTTCATTTAAACAGTTCAAATAACTTCCAATTCCATCTGAAACACTAACAAACTTGTTAACATTTGTTTAAAAGCTGCACTTTCATTGTGTTGGTCCCTCTGACATAGGGTTAAGATACCGATAAATCCAAGTCTTCCAGCAAGTTGAGGGAGGTCCAAACATAACACTTGGGCTATTTCTGAGCTAAGAGAAGTTGATTAAGAAAGTGTATTCTTACACTTTGTAGGGGACATTCTCAGGCTGTATTTGTCCTCTTTTGATTCCTTCTCAAGCTATAGGTTACGCCAGTTTTTGAGGTTTTGTTAGCTGCAGTCTTTTCCTCTTCCAGAATTCGCTTGCATAAAGGATCCACAGATTAAATAGTGGCATCAGTACAAGAGAACATCAGAAGATATTTACAGAAAACTAACTTCTGTTGCAGTCATTCTTCTCCTCATTTGGATCACAAGTACTGCAAGGTGTTTAAACAGAGATTTGTTCTTCACTGGATTGTAAAGTCAAATTTGTCTTAAGAACAAAAATGCTACCAAAATATTAACACAACATTTAGGCAGCATAACCTCATGTAGCATAACCTCTATGTAGTGGTTAGCAAGTACAGAAATTTCAGCTAACTTCAAAAGAACAATTCAAAGTGCTATAATTCTTTACAGTAACTACAGCTAAGTGGTAATGGGGATATTGGATATATCACATAGAAAATTGAACACATTTGATCTTAAAGCTGTTGGAAGGCTCTCCAAGGTAAAAGGCTTTTATATCTTTATTCTTAAATAGCTGTGCTTTCCACAGAGATCATTTTGATCAGTTTTTAAATACTACGCTTCATGCTTTTTCATGTGACACATTTTGCACATTTATTTGTTCAGCACAGCCCCTCCACACTCAGACTTAACCCCACAGATAATTTTGTCACTATAAAGTTCCTAGATAGTTTTAGTTAAGGTTTAAGAGTTAAGTGCCCAGACAAAATGGAGACATTGAACAAGAATGAGGCCAAAGAAAACTGTGTTCTCTTGGAGAAATCTGTTATGGCTGAGCAAAATCTTAATGGAGGAAGGCAACAACAGATTACTTGTATTCTGAATCAAATATTAAATGTGACTCTTTACCATTATGCGTAAGACTGTTATTTTCAGCATCTGCAGCCTAAATCCCAGGTGGTAAATAAAGAACAATATTTTGATCTCATGGATACCTACTCTAAAGAGCATCTAAGCAACAGGTGCTTAGAAGCCAGATGTCTGATCTCACTAAGCAGGCTGATGCAAATTGGTCTGTCTGTGGTTCAGAGTGATTTTTGTGTAACTCCTTCTTTAGGAAGGCCTGCCATGCTTTGTGACCTGTGAAGTGGATGGCACATCTCATTTGCACTCCTCAGTACTAGACTGAAAGGTTTTCTTCCTCTAGGTGAGGTCATGAAGCCAACATGTCATTTCCAGGCTGCTTTTACTGACATCAGTATATGCTGCACTTAACTTTTTCCAGTCTCTCACTGTGGACTGCCAGGAGAGTGATACTGCACTGGATATTATACCTTTGATTTCAACGGTGTTTTTAATGGAAATTATTTTTAATTGTAATACCATGGATCATATTTTCGTTTTTTAAATTAATATAGGTGCCTGCAACTAGAAGTCAAAAACTTCTACACTATTTCTTAAAAAAAAATTTGGTGTTCAGGCTGAAGTATTAACAGTTTTATATCAAAGTCCAAAATCCACCTGTAAATAACAGATTTTTTCCATGTAATTACACATCAGTCAAGAAGCCTTAGAATTTGTACTTGCAGCATTTTTTCTCAACAACATACTATCATGTGACCCTGCTATCTATAAAATACCCATCTCAAAAGAGTTTTGAATAGCTTTTTACAAACTCTTTAGTAGTAGGTCATTAATCTTTTATTATGCTGCAGCATATTAAGATCTGGCTTAAAATTCCTGTGCTTAAAGTCAACCTTATTCTCTCTTCCTCTGCTCATAGTAACTCTGCCTCCTGTATGTGTTCTAAGCTTCCAGAATGCATATTCACAGTACTTTCAAGAAAAATACAGGACGAAGAAAAAGGCACCAAAAAATTGTATTTCATAACTACAGTTCATACCCATGTCACGATGTGCCAAGAGTTTTTATTTTTTCCCCCATTTTTGGTCATTCCTTTGTTCCATTGTTAACATATGTAAGGTTTTTTAGAAGAAGTACACATGGAAAAATATTCTGTAATAGAAGTTACAGAAAGCTGCCTAATGTTTCAGTCTTTCCATTTATGTAAGCAAATATTAATCCGAAGACACTATTAAATAATTTCAGACTAAAATTTCTCGTAAGGCTGACATGTTACAAACTGCACAGGGAACAACTTTCAAGTTGTAAATATTTTACTTTAAATCTTCTACTTGTCTGTTTCTGGGAACACAGAAATTCCGTGTTGTTCTTCAATTAATAGGGTTTTTTTGTTGTTTTTTGTTTCTCTTTAAGTGAAAAGTATATAATACTTGCCAGTCTAGAACAAAGACCTAAGATAAAAAGACTCTCTCCCTTCATTTCAGTATTTGCCTAGTGGGAAGGACTGATGTTATATATGTAAATTTTAGCTTCCTCTTACTGCTACAATACTGTTAAAATATGAATTTTATAGTCACAGCTTTACCAAGACTCATGCTTCACAGTGAGGGTGGTGTCAAGTGGTGTTTGCATTCTATGGATCTGGTGTTGCATTGCCTGCTGTTTAAAAACAAATTGGCTCCTATGCTTTTAAAAGTTCATCAAGATCTCTGATCAGAAGAGCACAGCACAGGTTGAAAAAGTTTACTTTTGAGGGGATTTTTTGGTTGTTTTGGGGATTTTTTTAGTGCTGTGGATAATACTTGGGTACAACTACTACAGCTAATAAACAACCTCCAGTAATACTGCATTACTTTTGTACACTGTAAAGTGCCTAATCATGGGTGATTCTGATAGCCCTTGAAATGGGGTTTGCTATGAAATTATTTTTTTCATTCAGTTTATGGCTTATGTAATGTCCATGTGTGGTTTTGTGTTATTACGTATTGGAGACAAATAAGATTTTGAAGAAATTCCTCTTACATAAATGGTAATCTAACAACTTTGCCCATATTAGACTGATAACTGAACACCCCTAATTTAAATTAGCAACTCTCCCTCTGCCTCCTGCTACCTCTGCATTGTTTTCTTTATGACTGAGGGTGAGTATTTACAAGATCTGGAATGGATTGACTGACAAAGTTTTGTAGTGACATCTGGGTGTTAATTACACCCCAGTCATGCAGGCACATGGGTGACTTCAGCCAGGTAAGTCATTCTGCTTGGGCTCAGAAAGGCGGCACTGAAGGTCACTGAATCCTTACGGATTTGGAGCACAAACAGTACCAAATGTGACACGGCTGACTAACACCAAGCTTCCAAAAGTTACACCTTGTAGAATTTTGTGGAAGTCTGTTAAAGTATTCAATAGTGAAACCACCCTTACTTTAAAACTGCTTGTCCACCTTCAGGAATGCAAGAGCTGAAGGTAGAACTTGACTGGTTCAGGAAGGAAGTTAAAAGTGAGGAAACAACAGGCTTCTGCTCCTGAGTTAATTATACACTCTGCTTGTGAAGTGTTTGTGAGTTGAGATGGTGTTGCTGATTCAATCTATCAAAGGAAGCATTCTGAGGAAGGCCTGTCACAGCATGTTGAGCTTTTAGCTCTAAAAAGTGGCTGTAGAAATCTGTACTGTATATAGTACACTGTTTGGGAAAACCTGGTACAGTATGCCTGCTAAATATTTCCTTACACTTACTGTAAGTTACATTACGTTTTTTACTGTAGAGCATTTAAGAAGGTGGTTTTGCCTTGCTCAGGCAGCATTTTATATTAATGTGAAAATAGTAAGAATTGGTTTGTCATTTAAATGCCTACATTTCTTTAACAACAGTAAACTTCACAAAATTGAAGCAAGGTTATACTTTCTTATTTCTTGTTCATTCTGTTGAAAATATTACAGTTTAACTCTGCTTTTATAATGCACACATTATTAAAATGAAATTTATGTCTATTAGTTTCTCATGGTAATACCACAGCAAATCTAAGAGAAACTGTGATACCTGCTGATTTTCAAGTGGCCCCATTAACTTGCTTGTCTTTGTAAAGCGTTAACCCATGTTGGACATATAATGTCTACTGCAGTGATGATGTTCCTATAGTATTTTAGCATCCATACATGTACTCTGCATGCCTTGCACTTGTGCACTGTAAAGGATAGACTGTTTTACAGTACTTTAGGTTTAAAATAACCCTTCCATTATTTTATATAGTATTTCCCATATCCAAAATAGGACACTTTCTAAAGCCAAAGATCAATAAATGTTTATTGTCTACCAGTGTGATTTTTCTTCCTACTTTGTGTGAT